CGCTCAACCAACTGAGCCACCCAGGCGCCCGTCAACTTTCTTTTTAAATTTAAATTCCAGCGATTCCAGTAGTTTTTAGTGGTATCTCATTGTAGTGTGACTTTGCATTTCTCCAGTTACTAACGCTGTTATTGCTGCTTATCTGTTCGTTTTCTTACTTGCCATCTGTATCTGTTTTGAAGTGTCTGTTAAATCTTTTGCCCGTTTAAAAAAATTAGATTATTTGTTTTATTATTATTGAGTTTTTAGCTTTCTTTTTGTATTCTGGATGCAAATTGTTTATCATATACACTCTTTGCAAATATTTTCTCCCAGCCTGTGGCCTTTTTGTTTCATTAACAATATTTTCTAAAGAACATAAGTTTTAGATTTTGATGGACTCTAGTTTATCAGCATTTAAATTTAACGTTTGTGGTTTTGGGGTGAAATAGGTGAAGGGGATGAAGAGTACACTTACCTTGACAAACACTGAGTAATATATGGAATTCTCGCATTGCTATATTGTACACCTGAAGCAAACACAACATTGTATATTAACTACACTGAAATTAAAATAAAATAAATTAAAATTAAAGAGGCCTCATTCCATGTTAAAAAGAAAAAAAGATTTGCAGGTTTTTATATCTAAGGATAGAAATACTTGCCTAACTCAAGGTCACGAATAGCTATGATTTCTTCTATAAATTTTATAGCCTCATTTTTACCTTTAGATCTGTGGTCCATTTCATGTTAATTTTTGTATACGATGCAGAGAGTCGAGGTTAACGTCTTTTGCATATGGGCACTTAGTTGCTCCAGCACCATTTATTAAAGAGATTATATTTGTCTGTTGATTTGCCTGGGTACTTTATATGGGTGGGTTTAGTTCTGGAGTCTAGTTTGTTCTATTAATGTATACCTCTTTCCTTATGTCAATTAAACACCGTCTTGATTTTTCTAGCTCAGGGTTTCTTAATCGCAGCACTACTGATATTTTGAGCTGGATAATTCTTTGTTGTGAGAGACTGTCCTGTGCCTTTTTTTTTTAATTTGAAAGCTTTTATTTTATTTATTTATTTATTTATTTATTTTAAAGATTTTATTTATTTATTTGACAGAGAGAGACACAGCAAGAGAGGGAACACAAGCAGGGGGAGTGGGAGAGAGAGGAGCAGGCTTCCCGCAGAGCAGGGAGCCCGATGTGGGGCTCAATCCCAGGACACTGGGATCGTGACCAGAGCTGAAGGCAGACGCTTAACGACTGAGCCACCCAGGTGCCCTCTATAGTAAGTCTTGAAATCAGATAATGTGAAGCCTCTAAATATTTTCTTGTTTTTCAAAATCTTTTTGGATATTCTAGGTCTTGTGTTTTTCCATAGAGATCTTAATATCTTTTTGTCAATCTGTATAAAAAAGACTTGCTGGAATTTCTACTGGGATTTCACTGGAGAAGACTGATATCTTAACATTATTGAAATTTTTTATCCATGAACATGTTTCTTTCCATTTATTTAGGTAGTCTTCCTTTTCTCTCATCAAAGTTTTATAGTTTTCAGCATACACATTTTGTACATATGTATTTCATGTTTTACAATGCTTTGGCAAGCAGTACTTTAAAAATTCTTTGTCAATATATAGATATATGATTTTAAAAAGATTAACCTTTTATCATGTGACCCTTCCAAACCCACATTACTTCTAGTAGCTTTCTGTAGAATCTTTGGGATTTTTCTTTATTTCAGATCTTCATGCGTTTTATTTCTTTTTCTTGCCTCATTGCAGTGGTTACAACTTCAAGTACATTGCTGAGTAAGAATGGGGAGAGTGGGCATCCTTACCTTGATCTCAGTCAGTCTTTCACTATTACGTGTGATGTTGGTTGTAGTTTTGTTTTGCTTCGTTTTGTAGAGGCCTTTTATCAGGTTTAGGAAGTTCCCTTCTATATCCAGTTTGCTGTGAAATTTTTATCATAAATGGGTAGTGAATTTTATCAAATGTTTTCTCTTTATCTGTTGAAATCACCACAAGGTTTTTCTTTTTCAGTCTGTAAAAAGGCATTGGTTGATTTTATTTTTTTATTTTTTTAAAGCTTAAGTTTTTTTTTTTTTTAAGATTTTATTTTATTTATTTGACAGAGAGAGAGAGATAGCGAGAGCAGGAACACAAGCAGGGGGAGTGGGAGAGGGAGAAGCAGGCCTCCTGCTGAGCAGGGAGCCCGATGCGGGACTCGATCCCAGGACCCTGGGATCATGA